ATGCAAGAAGAGGAAGAAACATAAAACTTTTAATTAAAAACTGTAGTTAATGAACCCCTGCATAAAGAAAACATCATAATTACTGTTAATAAAAATACCTGACAGCAAAAATGCCTATCCAAGTAATGCCTTACTTAGCAAATGGTTATTGGGGAAACCATTGTGGTTTTTTTTTTTTTTTTTTTTTTTTTTTGGTACCAGGAATTGAACTCAGGGGCACTCAACCACTGAGCCACATCCCCAGACCTATTTTTTATTTTATTTAAAGGCAGGGTCTCACTGAGTTGTTTAGCACCTCACTTTTGCTGAGGCTGGCTTTGGACTTGAGATCCTCCAGGCTCAGCCTCCAGAGCCACTGGGATTACAGGCATGTGCCACCATGCCTGGCTGTGTTTGCGATTTAAAAAGAAATCTTTTAAAGTGTTGTTTTAAAAAGTATCAACAGTAAAATATACTTTATTCTGTGATTTTTAACATATGTATATATTTGTGTAATCATTGCCATTATCAGGATATAGAACAGTTCCATCACTCAAAATAATTCTTTCTTATAACTTGATTCCTCACTGCTGATTATCTATTTTCCATCCCTATAGTTTTATCTTCTCAAAAATGTCATGTAAATGATGTTAGTATGTCATATAGTAGGTGACTTTTGGAGACTAATTTTTGTTTTACTTATACTTTTGAGATCCATTCAACTTTTTATGTGTCAATAGTTTGTTCCTCTTTATGATTAACTACTGTTTCATTATATGGATATACCATAGTTTATCCATTTAAAGGACATTTGAGTTGATTCCATTTTTGCAGTTATGAATAGAACTGTTATAAATGTTGGGTTTATATGAATATTTATCTCTCCAGGGTATATACTCAGGTGTAGGTCTGCTGGCATCTACACCTAAGTATGTGTACTACAGTAAACATTTGTTGACTTTTATGAGTCACTGCCAAAACTGTTCTCTAGGGAATGTGCACCATTTTTAATTTCCACCAGCAAGACATGAGAGTTCTAGTTGTTCTGCATCCTTGATAGCCCTTGGTATTGTCAGTATTTTTAATTTTAGCTATTCTAATGGGCTTGTACTCATCATGGTTTTAATTTGTGTTTTCTTAATAGCTGATTAGGTTGAATATTTTTTCATATGCTTACTTATCATCCTGCATTCTGTTTTATGAAGTGCGTATCTTTATGCCCTTTGCTCATTAAAAAAGATATTGTCTTCTTATTGTTAAACTTGGAGAGTTCTTTATTGTACATGCAAGTTGGACATATGATTCACAAATATTTTTCCCCAATTTGTAGCTTATCTTTTCCTTCTCTGGATAGAGCAAAAGTTTTTAATGAAATCCAGTTTATCAATTTTTTATTTTATGGATTATACTTTTGTGCCATGTCTTAAGAATTCATTGCTCAACCCAAAGCTGAATGTTCTAAAAGTTTGATAGTTTTTCATTCTATATTTACATCTATGGTCTATTTTGAGCTTACTTCTCTACAAGGTATGCCATTTAGATCAAAGTTTACTTTTTTGTCTGTAGTTGTCCAGTTGTTCCAACAATCGAAGAAATAGGTATATATCTATTTCATTTTTTGAAACTATTGTAAATGTTATGTTGGGAAGACTTTTCTTTCTCCATTGAATTGCTTTGAACCTTTGTCGAGTCAGCTGTATCTGTGTGCATCTATTTCCAGAGTCTATATTCTGTTCACTCTACTGATCTATGTGTTTATACCATTGTTAATACTATCCTGTCTTGGTTACTGTTAACTCTATAGTATGTCTTAAAATTGGATAGTATAACTCCTCCCATTTTATTCCACCTTTTCAGAATTGCTTTGGCTATTTTAGGTTTTTTTCTTGGTATCTCCATATTAATTATAGCATTAGCTAGTTTGTATGTAAAAGAAGTCCTGCTGGGACTTTTATTGGTAATTTGTGGAACCTATAGATCAATTTGAGAATAATCAGTAATTTTGCTATTATGTCTTTCAATCTATGAATATAAGGTGTTTATACAATCATTTAGATCTTTGATTTCTTTCATCAGAGTTTTGTAGATGTTACATAAGACCATATACATGCTATGTTAGGTGTATGTATATTTCATTTTTGAAACTATTGTAAATGTTATGAATTTATAAATGTCAATTTTTATTTGGACATGCTAATTGTATTATATTTATGGCCATTGTGACAAATTACTAGAGACCTGGAGCTTGCAACAGCAGGAATGTGTCCTCTTAGAGTTCTGGAGTGGGGCATCCATAATCAGTCTTGCACTGGAATCAAGGTGTTGTCAGGGCTGTGCTCACTTCAGTCTAGTATAAAACTGCTGTTTTCCTTGTGTAGCTTCTGGGGCTTTCTGACCTTCTTTGGTTTATGATGACATTATTCCTGTCTCTTCCTCTATCTTTACATTGCCTCTCCTCTATGTATGGAATTCCCTGTGTCTATATTTTATAAGGATCCTTTCGATGGCATTTGGGGCTCACCTGGATAATCCAGGATAATTGTCACATCTCCAAAACCTTTGCCAAATCAGATAATATTCACAGGTTCTAGAGATTCAGTCTTTGAGGACATTTTTTTTTAGCCTACCATATTAGTGTTTAGTAATAAAGATTGTGGTGTGTGTGTGTGTGTATGTGTGTGTGTGTATGTGTGTGTGTGTGTATGTGTGATTCTGTGTGTTGATCTTCTACAAATTTGCTAAACTCACTAATTTTATGGTAGATTTCTTAGGATTTTCTAGATAGATAATTGTGGAGAGCGGTGACAGTGATTGGGAGACCAGTGTCTGAGATTGGGGTCCCTGAAGACTTCAGGGCTGTGACATGCTTGGTGACTGGGAAAGTTTCTATGCAAACTGTAGGATGCTCAGTTGCTATGGCAATGCTCTCCATGGGGAGACTCTAATGGGAGAATCTTATCAGCTTTGACCTTACTCTCAGGCACACACTTCCTTTCTAAGATAGCTACAATGTTTCACCAATTCTGCTGCTCCTGAATCTGCCAGCGAATTAGAAACTTTAAACAATGGACTTTCTTGAGAGCTGCACAATGCTCCAGACATTGCATATTGCAACTGTAGAATATAACTGAGGAAATAGCTGCATACTGTTGCTAATTCTGTAACTTTCATGAATACAAAGAATAATGCTTACATAGACTTTAATCTGATTAATGAGACATATTTAATAAAGATTGCTGGTGTAATTCTTCAGACCTCTTCTCCATCAGAGAGCAGTGCTCCACCCGACCCCAGCTTTATCTTCAAGATCTGCGTGTGTGACTCTATTTCTTCCAATATCCCATGGCCCCTCACCAGAACCTGCTAGTTTGGCTTCATTGATCACAGCAGATAATGATTATACCTGCAAATAGACATACTTCTTTCTATTTTCCAAACTGTATGAATTTTCTTATCATGACAAAAACTTCCAGCACACTGTTGAATAGGAATGGTAAAAATGGACATTTTTGTGTTGTTCTTAATCTTAGGGGGAAAAAGCATTTACTAATTCACAAGCATGATATTGGCTCTAAGTTTTTGAAGCTAAAATTGAGGAAGTTCTTTTCCATTCTTTCTTTACCAAGAGGTTATTTTAAAAAATCACAAATGTATGTAAAATTTGGTCATATTATTTTTTGCATCAATTAATATAACATACCTTCTTTAGATTATTAATATGATGGATTACACTGATTGGTGATTTCCGAATTTTTGAGCCAGCCTTGTGTTATTGGGACAAATCCCACTTCATCATGAAGTATTATATGCATTGCCCATTTTGGTGTTGAAGACWTTTTGCTATATGAATTGATATTTGTCTGTAGTTGTCTTAAACTGTCATTGTCTGATTTTGGTGTCAGGGTAATTCTGGCCTTATAGGATCAGTTGAGACACACTCTCTCCTTTTCTATTATCTAGAAGATACTGTAATTTTTTTTTTATGATTATTGAATCCCATTTTAATTATAGCATAAATTAACAAATCTAAATAATACAACTACCATAAAGCTAAAATTCTCATTTATGTAAAAATTTATGGTTATTTCTTCTTTACATGTTTCATAGAATTTGCCAATGAAACCATTTAGCTGGGTGCTGTTCTTTTCCAGAAAGTTTTTTACTACAAATTCAATTTTTTATACTTATATGAATATTCAGGTTATCTGTTCCATCTTGGGTCTTAATCATTTGTAGTTTTTGATCCATTTCATCTAAGCTATTGAATGAATATGCATAGAGATGTTGATAGCTTTCTGTTATAATTACAGTCTGCAGTACCTGTAGTCATATCCCCTTTTTCTCTGGTAATTTTTTCTTTGTCTCTTTTTTTTATCTTTCAGATTTGCTATTTAATTATCAATGCTTTGGTCTTTTCAAAGAACCAGCTTCTGGTTTTATTGTTTTTCCTTATTTTGCTTATTTTCAATTTAGTTTTTTTTTTATCATTTCTTTCCTTTTGAATACTTTGAGTTTATTTTGCTCGATCTCTCTCATTTCTTAAAGTTTAAGCTCAAATTGTTTGAGACATTTCTTCTTTGCCAATATAAACAATTAATGCTACAAATTTTGCTTTTGAGCACTATTTTAGCCACACTTGACAAATTGTTTGTATTTTAATTTTCATTTAGTTCAAAAATGCTTTCTGATATTATTTAAGGCTCATTTTTTGGCCCATTTATTATTTATTTTTATTAATTTCATTTCCAAATGTTATGAGATTTTCCTGTGTGTTTTTTTAATAGTGTTGACATCTAGCTTTAATTTCATTATGGTCTGGAAATATACTTCATATAATATCAGTTATTTAAGGTTTGTTTTATGACCCATGATTTGGTCTCTCTTGGTGAACGTTGGTTGCATGGATATTGGATCTTCCTCAAAGGGAGTCAGACCTCTAAACTGGGCCTGTTCATTTGCATATGCAATCAAGACTATTCCTGAAAGGCTGTCACTCACAGTCAATTCTTCCCTTTGTCTAGAATATCCAGGATGTGAGAAGTGATGATGAAGATGAATATGAAGAAGAAGACGAGGAGGAAGAGGAGGAGGAGGAGGAGAAAGAGAAAGAAGCTGCCAAAGACAAAGACAGRGAAAGTTTGAAGAATGGCCTTGGGKCTGACAGGCACCTCATTCCCAATGGTCAGCATGGTCGTTAGCTTTAAGCCCATGTCATTCCCACAGCACAGCATGCTGCAAGGACTCCTGGGAGCTGGAAATGCTCCCCTTTCCATGGCTGTGGCCAAGAAGACCCACAGAGATCCCAGATACTGCCCTTCCCTCTTTCTCACCTTCCCTCCATCCTAAGATGTGTTTAACAAAATGTTGTTAACTTGTGTTAAATTGTTAAATATTCAAATGCCCGTGGATTTTATTGCAGTTAGGACTCACACTGGTCAATAATTTCAAAGATTTCTCCAAAGCACCGTTTCAGTTCTAATTGCATTCATTCATACACTTGAGACTTTTAACTTTTTCAGGAGTTCACTTTGTTTTGGTCCTTTTACCTTCCCACCTGGCCCATCCTCATGATGGTTTCACAAGTGCTGAGGAAACTCATTTTTCCCAGGTGTGTTTGGCCACAGAGAGCAGCTCAGTTCCCAAAGATGAGTTGAAGTGGCAATGGGACAGTTGCAGAAGGATCAAATAAGGAGATAGGATTCTGGGGCTCTTGGCCCCTTCCCTTGAGCTAGAAATGGTAATGGGACAGTGACAGAAGGACCAAACCAGGAGATAGGCGTCTAGGGCTCATGGTTCCCTCCTGCCACCTGCAAGYTCAGGTGCTTTATCTCTACAATGTGACTTCACAGGGTGGAGAAAAGATCAAATGAAATAATAGAGGTGGAAGTGTATACTGTCACCTGTATATTATTGCTAACTGAACCTCTTTGAGCTATGATTCCAGCTCTGSTTGGGAAAGAGAAACCTGACTAAATTTGGTATGAGTGGGACTGAACAAAAAGCACACTCTTAAACAATTCCTCTTAAGTGCATCTGAGATACCTGGAAATACAAAGCCCCAGAGGGCTGCTTCCACTTGATTTGGTAACTATTTGTTAGCTCCATAAGGATAATTCTCAGATTGCCCTGGAATTCACCTCTCTCAGGTCCTCTGAGAGGATCAAGAAAGTGAGTTTTGGCATGTTTCCTTCTTATCTTTTGCTGGTTTCTCACGGTTTTCCTAAGAGAGAAACTTAACCTGTGCTGCCCTGAGCCCCTTCTGGCCAGCAGGGCTGCACTGTGGGCTGTTAGGGTCCATCTGGGGCCTCACCAGGGAATGGGGCCCAGGTCAGGTTGCTCACTGCGCCATACCACCCAGGGAGCCTGAACCGCTAAGTGGCATGTGTGGGAGCTGCAAGACCCCCCAAAAAAACTCTTGGAAACAGAAAGAGGAAGCCATACATTGCTTCTCTGCTATCCAACCCAATCAGACCACATAACAGTGAAACTATACAATACAGAAGGCCAGAAAATAACCCTGAGAAATGTCCAGGGACAGGCTCTGGAGTCAGTGTCAGCTCTCTGGGAGGATGGATAAGGGCTAGTAAGTCAGTGGCTGGCTCTCCTTCATCCCCAGGGGAGAATAGTGGGGACTACTTGAATATTTCCAGTCTATAGCCTTGTCTTCGAAAGGGACAAGTCCTGAGCAGTGTGTCAGGGGTGACCACAGAGGCTCCTCAGGGTCCTGCTGACAGGAGAGACTGAGCCTTCCAAAGAAGAGTTTGAGCACAGTATGCCTCTTCTCTTCACACACATCCCAGCCTCTTGTATTGGGTCAGATTTTGTATCTTCATCCTATATTGCACAGGGACTCATACTGTAAAGCCACATGAAAGTCAGCCCCAACCAATGCAGGCCATAAGGCCATTTGAGGAGAAAGGGTACTATGCTCACTAAAAAGGTCTGAGACTTTTGGTTCTTAATGAAAATATGTTTTTAAAACCTTCAGGCCAAATAAAAACAGGCAAACAGACACAAAAACCTTTCAGAATTCTTTCCCCAACAAAATCTTTGGTTAAAGAATTGTAGAAAGAACAGAAAACCAAGCCTCAATTTTTCTCTGCATAATATTTGCTTTTATGAGTACAATAACATATGCCTTATCTGTATAATGTGATATTATATATCTAAGATGCCTCCACTTACTTTGTGGCATGGCTATTGGTTTATTATTAATATTATATTATTATTGTTATTTGGGGGGAAGAAGGTCACACTAAGATTACTTTTTATGTTTCCAGTTATCAGAGTATTTTCCCCCTTGATTTATTCTGGTCTTATCTCAATACCAAATCTCTTCTTAAGGTAAAAAATTGTTTGCTGCTCTCTGTTCTCCAGTTTTTTTTCCTCATTTGATTGTTAAAATTAAAACTGATATATCAACTCTTGATACAGCTGGAAGCACTAAACTACATTATAAGAGTGAGATACAGGTTTATAACATCCTTTAGGGCATTTGAAGTTAATTTAAAAGGTATCCTATTTTACTACAGGACACAAGGGCTCAGGGCTATGCAAGATGACTTTTTAAAATTCTAATCCACAGTGCCATCAATATTGTAATGGTAATGACTTACAATAAAACAGAAACAAAATCTAGTGTGTGTGGTGTTGCATGGATTTGGCATTCACATTGCTTGGCCTCTGAGAGAGAGAATTACAGGTCTCCCTGCATACTGGAAACAAAGGTTTGCCAGTCCTACAGAAAGGCCTATGGGGAATTGAAGGGAAACTGAGGAAAAGGGATCYAGCTGTAGATTTTCAGGCTGCTGGTCTCCTGATGCCAGACATCAGAACAAAGGAGGTGGCTGGGGCCCAGCTGAAAACCCCAGGCCTGACAAGGTGGTCACCCTCAGAGATTCAGGCTTCCTGGAGTATTTTCATTTCCAGGCACTTCAGACATATTTAAGAAGAATCTTTTAAGAAAGTGCCTCTTGGCTGTGCATGGTGGAGACAGTCGGCCAGCCTGGAGGCTGGAGTCTAACCAAGGTGGCATTGAGCCATGTGCAGGAACTTTGAAGTGTTAAGAGAGGGTATTGATCCTAAAGGTATTTTCTCAGTCACATTTTGATATGGGATCTAGAAGGATGGCTCGATTGGCTTTCCATCAGAATTACCTGTCGAACTTAAAAAATAGATACCTAGTTCATTGCCTGCTGCACATTTTGATTCAACACTTCTGGGTGAAAAGTAAATCTACATTTTAGCTGAACCTTAGGTACTTCTGAAAAGCAGTCAGGATTCTGTGTGACCCTACTTGATTTTATTCCTATTGGCAGTTTTGTACACTAAGAGACGGTAAATGCAATTGTTTAGAATAAAATAGGGAAGAAGAAAAGCAAGCAAGGCAAATATAAAATTCATACTAAGATGGATAAGTGTGGTGTATCATCAGCTTTTCATTGCTTTGGCCAAAATATCCAACAAGAACAAGTTAAAGGAGTAAAAGGTTATTTTGGCTCACAGTTTCATACATTCAGTTCATGGTTGGCTGACTCCATTGCTTTGGGCCCAAGGTGAAGCACAATATCATGGTGGAAGAGCATGGTGGAGCAAAGCTACTTGACTCATGGTGGACAGGGGACAGAGATGGAGAAAGAGGAGCCAGGAGACAAGAAGTAATCCCCAAGGGTATGCCCCCAATGACAAACCTCCCAGCTACACCCCACCTGGTTCTTTCAAATTATTAATCCGCCAAATGGATGCATCCACTGATGGAGCTACAGCTATCATAATCTGTTTATTTTTATTTCTGAACATTCCTGCCATAACACAGAAGCTTTAGGGATACCTCATATCCAAATCACAACAGTGGCTATGTTGGCAGGTTTTAATCCAAATTAATGAGAATACCAAATGTAAAAGCAAAGAGTCTCAGATTAGATTTTTTAAAATATCAATGTTTACCACAGATACACTACAAATGTCAGGAAAAAGAAATTGAAGGACAGAGCAAGATAGAGATGCAAACTCTACCCAACAAAGTACTGTGGTTGCTGTTGTCTTAAAAAGGCAAGGAGAACCAGTGAGCAGTAAGAGAAAGCATTTAATAATAATGAAAGGGATCAATCCATCAAGAAAACACAAAACGTTTACTTAATAATATAACTTCAAAATACATAAAGAAAAATTTCACAGAATTAAAAGAATTAACAAATTCATGATCACATTTTGGTGGTTTTAACATACCTCTTAGTATTTGATAGAACAAGCTAAAAAAACATCAGTGAGAAAGAACATCTGAAAAATGAAATTGACAAAATTGACCTAGTTGATGCACACAGAAAAACACTGTAACCAATAATTGCAAGATACATATTCAGGAGCACATTCAACATTTAGAAAAGAGCCATATAATGGGCCATTAAGCAAAACCTGAAACATTTCTAAAGTTTAAAATCATACAAAATATAGTTACTAATCACAATGAAATTAAACTAGAAATCTGTAACAAAAAGATACATAAAAAATCAGAGGTTGAAATTAAGCAATGGACTTCTAAATAAACTATAGAATAAAAGTGTTTTGGAGGCTGCAGGTATGGCTCAGTGGTAGAGTGCTTTCCTAGAATGTGCGAGGCTCTGGGTTTGATCCCCAGCACAACAAAAATAAGCACACACACACACAAAAAGATGTTACTGTTTGTAGATATCAACAAGCTTGCTCTAATATTTATTTGGAGAAGTATGGTCCTGGAATAACTAAAATAGTCTCAATAAAAAATTAAAGTGGGCTAAATATAGAGCTGCAGTAATCTAGACAGTATAGTATTGGCAGAGAGAGAGACACATAGATCAGTGGAATGGAATTGAGAATCCTTGGCTGGAGGTGTAGCTCAGTGGTAGAGCACTTGCCTACCATGTTTGAGGGCTCTGAGTTCCATCTCAGCAAAAAATAAAAAACAAGAGAATCCAAAAACACACCTACACAACCACGACCAACCAAATCTTGACAAAGGTGCAAATCCAATTCAATGGAGAAAGGAGAGCCTTTTCAGCAAATGGTGGTGGAACAATTGGATGTAGATATGAACCTTGACACAAATATCACATCTGTATAAAAATTAATTCAATATGTATCATGAGCTTATATTGGGGGGGAGGAGAGCCAACATCTCATTAAGGGGTCCTTCTTCTTGCCCAGAATAATCCAAGCCACC